AGCATTAAATGTTTTCATTTTATTCAACATTTCTCATCTTCTGCAGAATAATATCCTCCACCTGAACACCGTCGGGCGTGTCGAGGGCATATAAAACTGCCTTGGCCACATCCACTGGCTGGAGTTTGGGCAATGCGTCCACAGCCTGTGAGTAAACATTCAGAAAATCGGTGTCCACCATCCCGGGGCAGATGCTCTGTGCGGGCGAAAGAAGACAGCGTCACAGTTGTTTGCATACAACATGCGGGGCAAACCAAAGCCCATCCCGCTTATCGGCTGGGTGCAATGTATGCAGTGCATTTAACTTACCGTTAATTTAATATTTAATTTGAGAAAATGTATTTCCTGGCGCACCGTCTGGCAAAGTGCTGTAATTGCATGCTTCGTGGCCGGATAAACGCTGAATAAGGGCACAGGCACTTCCGGTATGCGATGGCCCAGCACGCTGTCGTCAATCAACATGGCAAATGATAGACAGAAGGAGAGAGAAAGTGAGAGAGTGGAAGAGTGAGAGAGTGAGAGAATACGAGTGGGTATAGGCATGAAATGGGAAAATGAATAAAGTCAACGTTGCTACGCAATGTAAGCACTTGAAATAACAACAAAGGCGATTGGCAACTGTCGAATCACTCACGAGTAAAATGATGGTCAACAGCTGTCGTTGCTTTCAGCGTGTGAATGAGGCACGCGGACAGGTCCCGGGTGGAGGCGACCTCAATCGAAAGCTGTCGTTGTGCATTTTATGCAAACACTGCGTAAACTTCTTTTAATTTAACAGTGTCTGAGACAGAGGCGAGGCTGCAACATTAAGTGCAAATAACGGTACCAACTTTCAGCAGCAACTCTTGCCCAGCACCAGCAGCAGCAGCAGGAGCCGCAGCAGCAGCCTGCTCTTGTCCGCGCACTTTTAATTAATTAAGTCTTAATATTGTTCCATTGACAGTAAGCGCAATGCATATTGAAGCACACCGACTCGGAGCAGTTCTCAGGCTCGATAGGCATTCATTAGCAACGCATCTGCGGTCTGCTCAATTATTATGCTGCCTTATATGTATATATACTTTTATATTGAGTGCGCCTACTGCCTGTCGCTGCATTATATCAATTTTCTCATTAATTAACGTTGCTGCTCATGAGGTTTCTTTTGTTGTGCAGCACTGAGCGGCTGCACAATTGTATTTGATTACGGCTGTCATTCAATATACGCATTTGCTTTTCTTCTTGGCTCATTAAAACTGCAAATTAAGCGCGCAGCATCCGGAGACATATTTGAAATTCATGGCCAAGCAAGTGTAGAGCTCAAATTAAAGTTGAGAAACGAACGAGTTCGCAAAGAAAATTCTCTTAGACAGCTGCTGCTTAACCCTTTGACTGACTTGAGCTGTTTACTGATTTGTCTTGAGTTCAATTATATTCAGTCAATTGATACAGCTTAACTCATTTGGCTTTTAAAGTTGGTTTTTACCTGTGCAATTTGTTGAATTTTATATTGGGCTGGCGCACCGTGCGTATGCGCAATTATTCAATTTATCTTTAATTAAGTACGTTTATGATTGCTTTTGTGTATATGTGCGTGTGTGTGTGTGTGGGCGTGCTTCACAAATAAGTTGCATTTAAATGAGATCAATTCAATTTTAATTTAAAGCCAAAGCGCGCAGCAAACGAGGCGGCTTAATGCGCAACATTTTGATTTTAAAAGCGCTGCCCATTGGAATTCATGAAATAAAAATCAGCAGACATGCACAAATACAAACACATATGCAGCACAAACATATGAATGCATTTGCATGCAGGCTGCTTAATGCAAAATACTTAATTATGTTGAATAATTGAGTTGTTGTTGTTATTGTTGCTATTTGCGCAAACACTTTCGCCATCGCGCTGCAAATGCAAAGCTTTTAATGCACAGGACAACCACAAAGCAGCAGCAGCAACAGCAACAGCAACAGCAACAACAACAACAACAACGGATGCGAACAGTCGTTGCGGCGATTGCAACATTTAAATATCAATAAATGTTTGTTTGTTTTTATGCCATGGCTTTTAATTTAATTTAAATAACGCGCTATCGTCTCGCCTCCATACAACGCCGTAGCGAAGCTAATGAAAAATGCATGCGCTGCTCAACACTGGCCAGCAACGGCAATGCAGTCTCACTATTTACACTTTCATTACGTCTGTACATACAATCACACACATACACACACACACATTCACCTACACAGTACACTAAATACGAGCATAATTTTGGCACTCAGGGCAACTTTAGCTTGATGTTTGTCCATTACAAGCAACTGCTATAAAGCTAATACATATTCAGGTAATATGTGTGTGTATGTGCTTGTCAATGTTTGTGTATTCGTAAGTGCATTGTGCTGATGCATGACCACCAATTTAAGCCCATTGGACCCATTTTGCTATTTTAGCTGGACAAACATCATTTCCAAAACGATAACACACTCGTCTCTTCAAACTATGCTAAGCGATAATTGTGCTAATGTTGTAGTGCAATCAGGCGATTTGAAAGCAAATTTGTTGTCATTTGTAGTCGAGTGTATTGGTTTTGTGAGCTGGCAGCCCAGCGTATGCCCTATTTAATTATTAAGCTAGGCCAACAATCCAGTTGGAGTAGCCGGCCAATTCAATACAAATAATTATAATTTAGCTTGGACACTCTACAAAACTGTTATTGAAGCTGAGCTGTTATTAAAGTGTGGCTAATTAGATGAACTTGTTCCGATAGCAAATACGATGTATGTATATCGAAAATATGAAAATTTGAATTGTTTAAAACTGAGTGTTAAGCAACACATTCACAAGAACAACATACATTGTTAATCGCTTTAAATCAAATTTAACTTAACTAATAAGAGCAATTTCGTATATCTATATTTGCTTTAGCTCACCTATTTATCACGATAATGTGACTGCGCACCTTGACAGCGGCCATATGCTTTAGGGTCTCTCGCAAGCAGCTCGCCGTGGCCACAACATTCAAATCGAACAATTCCTTTATGTCCTTGGTGGGCGACTCTACATATAGGAATGGATTAATATTGAATTTCGCTCGCATACTTGCTTCACTTACCGCTCAGAAAGTTGGCCTTGAGTATGCCTGCATTGCAGATGAGCACATGTATGCAAAAGAAACGCTCGCGTATCCAGTTGAAGGCGCTGATCAGTTGCTCATCGTCGCTGAGATCGCATTGACGTGCAAAGATCTTGCCCTCGCCTGTTACTTGTTCGTTTAACGCCTGCCACAACGGGTTAGCTTTAACGATGGCATCATAGGAACTTTAAGTGAGCACTCACCTCGATGAGTTCAACGCGCCTGGCCAGACCCACCACGACCATGCCCGCATTGGCCAGAGTTAGCGCTGTGTTGGCGCCAATGCCCACCGAAGCGCCCGTGATGACAGCCACCTTATTGCGCCAGTAGAAACTCTCCATGCCGCTTGCTAGACAGACAGACAGACAGAGGCAGAGAGAAAGAGAGAGACAGAGCCCGTCAGAGATAACCCAAACAGCTGCGTGTGTCTCGAGCAACTGATGTGCAGAGGCTGAGCGCTATCGTCCCGCAAGCAATCGCAGCAGCTGCCTCAATCGGTCGCTGCCTTTGCCAATTGCACAGTTCAGCGTCAGCGTCCGTTTCGATTGACTTGGCGAACTTGCAGTTCTCGCATTTAATTATTTGCAATTTACTATTGTCATATTGTTATGGACTTTGGGGCTGTACTACCCCCGCTCTGACAGCGGATTGCACTCTGAACTAATCTTGCTGGATACCCTCTAAATTTAGATTGATATAATATGAGTATATCTTATTCATATATTCTGATTAAATTTGTATTATCTTAACATATTCATAAAAATGTTAATTTTTTGTTAACATAATCAAAGTCTGCATAATGAATATGTCTTGTTCTTCTCTCTTTTCATATCAAGCATTCGACAGACTTTGACACCACCAAGTGCAGGGTATTTTCAATTTAAGCATAGTTGACATTCTTACCTGTGTTCTAGCATTCTCACTCAAGTTTGTTTCATGGAAATTTGATACAAAATGAAAATCCCTTTACGCTTTGCGGTTTTGCTTTGGTTTTGTCACTAATCCCTCATGGCTGGCACTTACAGCTTATGCATTTTCATATTTCATAACCAACCGAGTCAATGCCGAGTCACAGTAAGTACTGGCTAAAGGTTACATGCATTTTTATTACCATTTCTGCATTTTGTGTTGCACCCCGTAGACCCAGCCTATGGGTATATCATGTAAACCACATATATTCTATTTGATTGTGATAGTGTCGTCGCTTGGAGCATCTTGAAATGGTTTCGTTCATGCGTTAAACCTTATCATATTTTTGTTATTGCTCAACAACAGCTTTGGTTTCAGCTGCTTGCCGCATTCTTATGGCCTCCCGGCAAGCACAGAAGCACAGAGCTCTTGCCACGCCCGACTAAATCCGGAGCAGCAAAGCCGCTGTCAAGAAAATCAGAGATGATATTTATCAGCATGCAGTACAAAAGTGCACAGTGCGTAGTCGAATATTAAATACCCTGTTTTATTAAAAACAATAAATGTTGAGAGATAACGAGCACTGTTAATTATCTTGATATGTTTAACAGACCCTGTTAAGTTAAAGGCGATGTTACGGTTTTAAAGATATTAATCGATAGAAAGTGAGCATTTACTGAAAGGATCTCTAGCTCTGCT